AGCCCATGGCATCCTGGAGTTAGACCCTGGGGACGAGCCCACAGCATCTTTATCTGTTGTATGCATGGCTTATGTGATATGTATAGCTGTTATAGTTAGTAAAATATGTTATATGTGGTTTGCGTATTGGTATGCTCTGGGGAACTCACTAAGCATTAACTTACAGTTTGGTGGCTTATCATGGGATCCCAGTCTCAGTAGTTTCAGATCCGGATGTTTGGTTCACTTCTAGGTTATGTAAGAGATTTCATGAGTATTTGGGCACTCCTCTACACTTCAACACGACTTTTCATCTGCAAACTGATGGACAAACGGAGCGGACTATCCAGGCTTTGAAGGATATGCTTCAGGCTTATGTGTTGGATTTTAGCGGTAGATGGGATACGTATCCTCCATTGGCTGAGTTTTATTACAACAACAACTATCACGCCAAATATTGGTCAACCTCCTTTTGAGATGCTTCATGGGACGAAGTTTCGGACCCCTATTTGTTGTGGCAAGGTTGGTCAACGAGTCATGGGTAGCACGGCGGTGGTGCTTCGGACTACCGAGTTGATCCAGCAGGTGTACGGGAGATTGCAGACCACACGGAGTTGGCTGAAGAGTTATATTGATAGGCACCGATCAAATTTAGAGTTTCAGGTCGGAGATATGGTACTCTTGAAGGTGTCGCCTTGGAAAGATGTCATCCGGTTTATGAAGCGAGGCAAGTTGGGCCCCAGATATATTGGTCCTTTCAGGGTTATTGCCCCGGTTGGCAGGGTTGCATATTGTTTGGAGCTACCCGAGGAGCTCGGTCAGATGCACAACACTTTTCACGTCTCTTAGTTGTGAAAGTGTTTGGTTGTTGACTCCGCAGTGGTGCCATTAGAGGACATTTAGGTGGATGAGCGACTGAACTACATAGAGAGACCAGTGGACATCCTCGATAGGAAGACGAAGACTCTACGAAACAAGGAAGTGGGTTTAGTGAAAGTGCATTAACAGCACCGAAAAGGCTCATAGTGGACTTGGGAGCCTGAGTAGGAGATGAAGGAGCATTATCCAGAGTTATTTTCAGAGGCAGACTTCGAGGACAAAGTGTGATTCAAGTGGGGGAGAGTTGTAACATCCGTTTCCAGGTATTTTCGATTCTAGCTTAATAACAAAATTCTTTGCAAAAATAGTCCCATGCGCACAACGTACCTGATGAGTACGATGGGCATAGGTCTTGTAAGTGGGATGCAGGTTTCCTGGAGTACGTCGGGCTTATGTATTGAGTACGCAGGGCGTACTCATGCAGATCCGAAACCTTATTTTTTAGGGTTGAGCCCCTATTTAAGGACCTTAACTCCCTTGAGGCTTCCCCATATTCAACCTCCATCCTCCCCAACCAGTGTTTCAAAACCCTAATCCTTGTTTAGCTTGTGTGAACCTATTTTGTGTGTTCTTGGTGCATAGTGAAGGAGTCGAAGTTTTTCCTTGAGGATTGTTATGGCTAGAGCGTGAAGATCTAGGACCTTCATCACATTTCTAAGCTTATGGAGGTATAAAGCTCTTACCTTTATGGTTCTATGGCTTAGATCTAGACCAGTTTTGAGATTTGCATGCTTTTGGTCCCATGGTGTGGTTCTTGTGAGTAAAAGCTACTCTAGAGCTCTAGTTTGCTACTTTATGTTGTTTTTGAGGATCATGTGTCATAAAAATGAATTCTTTATTGTTATTTCTCACTCATGCAAGATTTTAGGGTTATTAAAGAGTGTTATGGACTTAGGGTTTGGTTTTGGGCTCTATTAAGCAATGCAAAAGCTTAAAGATGTTGACTTTATCAGTTAAGACCTTCCCAAGATTAAGATTTGTGAGTTAGACGTATAGTATTTAGGTATTAAGAGCTTAAAAATAGAATTTGGCATCAAAGTAGTATGTCAAACGTAACCCTGGGGTAAGCATGGCGTAACAGGTTTTGTCCCATTTCCTTATTGGTGGTAACTTAGTACGCATGGCGTAATCCCTACAATGCTCTTGGGCCATTTTTGGGCCTTGGGCTATATTTGGGTGGATCCAGCTTGGAAAGGGCAAAATGGACTTTTATCCTAGTGAGAGAGCATGTGAAATGGAGCTTTGATTTTGGGTTATTACCCTAATCATTAATTAGGTATGGTTTTGGTTATGTCTAGTGTGAGGAACCTTTGTAGCATGAGCTCGAGTGTGTGGCTTGTTTATCATCGGATTGAGGCGAGTTTCCTCACAACATTTGCAGGTCGAAGGGGATCAATGTCATCCCATTGATTTATGTTTACAGGATGCTAGCTTTTTGTGTGACTCTTGCATGTATTGTATATGTTTGTATGTATACCGGGCAATGACCAATGGCAGGCGGGGCTGATGAATGTGTTGTGCGGGGCTCATCGCATGTTACTGACAGATCTATACTTGGCAAGGCCCGTTGTATGTATGGTATGTGGTATTTTGGGGAACTCACTAAGCTTTGTGCTTATGATTTATGTTTAAAATGTTTTCAGATACTTCTATTCAAAGGGGAAGGGCCTGACATGATGTCACAACATCCACCAGTGTTCTGCATTTTATGATTTTGGATTGTACTATGATAACTATTTTCTACATTGACATACTTTGATGGTTTTGAAATGAATGGTTGATGGTTTTTGTTGATTTAAAACAAAAAAAATTACTTAGTATTTTTGGAACATTACTGTTACACATATATTGCTAATGTAGTGGGAGTTGTGACTAGGTTTATGTCTAATCTAGGAAGAAAGCACTAGCATGGTGCGAAGAGGTTGTTGTGCTACTTGAAAAGTACTTTCTAAGTAACTCCTCAGGAACAAATTTTGTGTGGGCTAGTTCCTTTATCAAAAGCGACATCAAAACTCATCATGGGCCAATTTCGTCAGTGTATTCTAAGCTTGGCCTTATTGGAAGTTTTATATCAAACAAATAGTATATACATTCCCTAAATTTGTGTAACATAACGTATCTAATATCAATTCAATAGAAGCAACAAAATCTCTCCCCTACCACCCCCCTCCCTCTATCTCTCGTGTTTGCTATGGACGTAAACGATCATCTTAATTGTGTGACCCACGTAAATTGATTGAGTCTGTTTTTGTTTGCATTATTACTCTATGTAAATTTGTTTATCAAGTTGTTAAAGTGTTTAAACCCTAATATTATAGGTACTATGTGTTATTTACCTGACCCGACGTCTTTTATGCTTTGACCATGATGATTCAGTTTCATAAAAATACTAGTAAGGAGCATTAGATTGATGTGAAGAACATTATGAAGTACTTACAAAGAACTAAAGACATTTTCCTAGTTTGTATAGGTTTGGAAGCTAACCTTAATGTAAAATGATGCATCGATGCTAGTGTCCATACTAAAAATGATTATTGTTCCTAATATGGCTACATTTTCATTATGAATGGATGTGTGGTCAATTGGTGTAGCTCCAAGTAGAGGATGTTTTTGCAATCTACTATAGAGTAACAATATATCATTGTGTCGAAGGCAGCTGAAGAAACTTCATGGATAACGAAGTTAATTGCCATTTAGGAGTATTGCCAAAAATTAGATTTTGGGAATATATTAAGACAACGTTGATAACATAATGATAGCAAATGAGCCAACTGTGACCGGGAATCCTAAAACATCCATCACAAGAATAACTATATTCATGCTAAACGACGTGGTGTCGATGATACCACACTCCACATAAGTTGATAGTTACATTTTTGTTATTTTTGTTATTTTTAAAAGATGTTAGGGTGTGGTGTTGAAGATTGATGCCGACAAAAATAAAAGGAGAAAGTGTGAGTTTCAACGGCAAATAAAGAGAGAGAAATCGGTAGAAGTTCACTGTTAAATTTTACCGTCGATAAAAAAATAAGTTGAGGGGCGGTGTTTACTGCCGACTATGGGTGAGCAAAAACCGCACCGCACTAAAATTAACCGCAAAAAACCGCATAAACCGCAACCGCAATAAAAACCGATGGTGAGGATTTCTTTTTTCAAAAAACCGCAAATTTGCGGTGCGGTGCGGTTATTAGTTTTCAAAACCGCACTGCACCGCATATATTATATACAATTTTTTTTATTAATTATCAATATATTAAATATTAAAAATAAGACAAATTTTATGGATAAAAGAATGATAAAATTCTAAAAGACAAATATGTTGGTTTTTTCTTATGTTTAACTTTAGAAAATGGTGAAATGCGACAATTTAAATATATTTATTATTAATTACTAGTGATTTGATGTGTTTAAGATATTATTTGTTTGTAATTTAAGTTAATTGTTTTATACTATATGGTTCTTTTATTATTATAAGTAATATGTTTAAATTATTAAAACTGTTTGAACTCTAAACCGCGGTTAAAAACCACACAAAATAACCGCACCAAATACATGCGGTTAATAACCGAAACACAAAAAAAAAAACAAAAACAAAAACAAAACTGCACCTCAAAAAATAACCGTCTAACCGCACCGCAAAAATAACCGCACCAAACGTTTTCGAAAATGAATTAACTGCATTTGCGGTTAGTGGTGAGGTTTTAGACAATAATCATACCACGTTCACCCCTAGTACAGACAATAGATGTCATATACGAATGTCAGACCTAAAAACACTACCACACCCATTACTTACCGGGCCATATATGTAGGGTTAACCTGACCCTATATATGTTTTCAACTTGACCCTATTAAATCCGACTTTACCTATCTTAGTTGGATTTGAGACCAAATCGGGTTAATTGAGTACGGGCTTTTTTGACGCCCTAGTTTGGGAAGGACACAAGAACAAAAAAAAAAAAAAGTCGTTAACTAGTGTTATAAAACGTTAACATCATTTATTGCGTTAAACATTTACATCAGTATATATATTTTTTATAAACAAGTATTCATGTAACAGCAAAATTTATTGTATTAAAAATATCTAAACTTATCATAGACTCCAAAAAGTCCAAACCCTAAATCTTTCCTTTGAAACTCTGTCAATGCGAACTGGTGCTGCAATGAGGGAATACGACGGAGCTATTCGTCGGCAACCACATATGGCAATTGATATGCAACCAGAACTTCACCGATCCCAATGACCCAATCCTCCATCTCGTTCTCGAATTCCCTTTCAAGAAGAACGGAAACAATCCTTTCTGCAACGCTTGTTGCGTCAGCAACTGTTCTTGTTTCCCCAACGGAATCGGCGACGATTCCACCACGTAATAAAACTCCTCCGAAGTATTCTTCTTCACCTCAAACGGATCCGCCACCAGCAGTGCGATGCTCAGCCCATGGTACTGTAGCGTAAGCCTCGTGTTGTAGAAACTGACGTGTGCTTTCTGGTTATGGTTCTCGGCTTTTATGTCGACTGTTAATCGGACGGCAAGAACGCTGGCCTGGTTGTAAATGACGTCGTCGAGGCGAGCAGCGTTGACGTAGAGGAGAGGGACTTTGGGGCGGATTGCGAGGTATCCGATGAAGACGATGATTCCGGCGATGATGACGATGACGGCGAGGATGGCGCAGATGAAGGCGAAGCACCAGACCAGAAGGTTGGTGCGGCGTTTGCGGCCTAGCACCGGTAACTTATGCATTGAGAGAGGCGGAGGCGGAGGCGGAGGCGGAGTGGGGCCGCATTGAGTGTGGAAATGTGTTGTTTATTGTGAGGTTTTGAAGGGAGGAGCGGAAGAGGAAGGTATATGGAGATGCCATTTTAGGAGATAAAGTTGAGGTACGTTACCCAAATGTAAAGCTACTCTATGGCATTATTGTTGTTGTTATAGATAAAGTTTTGAATGATTAATTTGATTTCATATGAAATGAAATATGTGATGTTTATTATTTTTTAGATTAAAATGGGTTTAATAGAAAATCGAAATAGTTTTCATAGAATGATAAAATAAATAAAACATCATTGTATAAATGGATAGAATTAGTTAACTATTTATGCATATCATTTATCACAAACTACATATCAAGTTATTAACCATTATATTTTAGTAAAAACATTTATGTTTGATAATCTGTCAATGTGACCTTTTTGATAATGCTATAGTAAATTAAAATAGTCACAATTTAGTATTTTAGTTATTTTATGGTTTAACCATTATATTTTAATTTTATTAGATAAAAACATTTATGATAATCTGTCCATGTGACCTTTTTGATAATGTTATAGTAAATTAAAATAGTCACAATTTAGAAAAACTTGTCATCTAATAAAATATTTTGATTGTATATAAAATATAAATATTTCATTAGAACCACTAAATTTGACAAAGTTATCTATTACGACAACTTTCCACAACCTGTTAAAGTTATATAAACTAAAATATAATGTTTAAAATCACAAGATGGTCATCATATAACAAGCTAACTAGTTTGTTAATAAAATTTCACATAATTTAGTTTTGGAATAAAATAATAGTATATATTTTATCTAAAAATGATTACATTATATAAATAAATAAGGATAATTACTTGATCAAGTAACAAATTACACATTATGTATTAATGTATATATATCTGATCATTGTATTTGTAAACAATTTACCGTTAAAATTCATATATGATATTCAAAATCTATTATTTTGATTAGTTTAGTTGATTTTAGGTGAGTATTGTGATTGGTTAATGACTTTACAAGGTAACAAATTATGCTTATTGTACATGTTTGATCGTTAAGGTATTTTTTGTATACCACTTATTATTAAAATGATATTTCATGTTTAACACAGTTATCTAGGTAAATACGTTCAGATCGACATAGAAAACTAACAATATAAATGTTATGAAAACTCCCTATCTTTTTTCAAAAGAAAAGGCAACCATAAAGAATAAGTAAATTAATGGTGTTTTTTTAACAAAAATATCATTTTAATGGTAGTTATGTACAAGAAAAGAATATCAGTAATCAAATGTGTAAAAACATAATTTGTTATCCTATAAAGATATTAGCCTACCGAAAATACAACCACAAACTAACTAAACCGCTAATTGTTACTATAAATGGTAGATTTAAAAATCATATGTAAATTTAGTAATAAACCATATGAAAAAATATTATGACCAAATATGTATTAGAAACATAGTTTATTATCCTATTAAATTATTATCCCAATAAATGTGTAAGTTAACTCTTCTTTATCATTGGTTTTAGGTGTGAAAACCATAATCCGGAGAAAAGTAGTATAAAAAGGGGTGGATGTCAACAATGTAACTAAAGATTTATTATTATAAGTATTAGATTATAAAATATTGGTTAGTGATGACTCCAAAAGTTTAATTTTGCTTGCCCGTGTCCACTTACTATAATCGTAAAGCAGCTACAAAAGCCATAAAAGAGGATTATGGTCTTCAACTAAGAAACGCATGTGTATGAGTGTATCAACTATCAAGGCATAACACACCACCTTGCTAGTCTCATGCTTTCCACATGTCTCGTGGGGTAAGATTATTTTTATTAATTACTTTTTATTTGAGAAAAAGACAAGTTTAGTTTAACTTTTTAATCATTTAAAAATTCAGGAAAAATCAAATAAGTATATGAAATCGCAAATGGGCTCTCGTGGGCTGCGATTTCAAAGGCCCATTTGTGATTTTTGGATTAAAAAACAGTCGATTTTGTCATTTACATATAACGTTTCTATTAAACACATATTCAATCTCATGAGATTTTGGAGAGGAAAACATAGATTTTAGAGAGAAAATTCGTAGATGGCAGATGTCATCTGCAATCTTGTCATTCACAATGACAAAAACGATTTTTTTTAAGCTTTTGATGAAATCGCAACCCAGGAAGGCCCATCTATGATTCCGCTAATTTTTTGAGTCGTTTCTTAAATTTTTAACTATTCTTGCAAATGATCAAAGAAATTAGGCTAAGTTTTTTCTTTTTCTCTTCTTATAATACACATATAACCTCATATTTTAATCGATACAATATTATGTCATTATATTGTAACACCTAGGTCATAATAAAAAAGATTACAAAATCTTAATAAAAATGAAAGGAATAATCAACAAACATCAATGTTGTCTTATTATGAAATAACAATCTTTTAATGAATTTTCAAAAGTAATCACCTATTGTAACATCCCAAAATTCAAGGCCAAAAATTTCCTTTTTAATATAAGAAAACCTTTAAAAACGTTGTTCCAGACATTGAAAATATTTCTTTTAAAACAAATATCAGAGTCAAATCCCCAAGGATCACATAATGCGGAATTCATAGTGTGATGCGCTGCAACCGCCCCGAGCTCCTTCCTTTGAAAACATGAGTACCTGAAACCAAAACTGTAAACCGTAAGCACGAAGCTTAATGAGTTCCCCAAATACCACATACCATACATATCAACTGGGCCATACATGCCATACATACTGTGAGCCATACATAACAAACATATCCATAATCAAGTAAGGTGTTATGTGCCAAACATAGTATTGTTGTTATGCCACGGGCCGCACGTGGTCTTTCTTGTCAAGCCTGGGGCCACTCCCTAGGTCTTACAGACAAGTGCTAAGGGCCACCCCTTGGTCTTCCACGCAAGCATCACAAAGACAACTAGCATACATACTACTCTACTTGGCTAATCAGCATACGGTGTGCCAGGAGCCACCTCCTGGTCTTTCATTCATAATAGCATACAGTGTGCCAGGATCTACCTCCTGGTCTTTCATACATAATGCCTAGGGCTAACCCCCGGGTCTTCCTACTATACATAATATCATGCAGTGTGCCAGGAGCCGCCTCCTGGTCTTTCATACATAATAGCATACAATGTGCCAGGATCCACCTCTTGGTCTTTCATACATAATGCCTAGGGCTAACCCCCGGGTCTTCCTACTATACATAATATCATGTAGTGTGCCAGGAGCCGCCTCCTGGTCTTTCATACATAATGCCTAGGGCTAACCCTCGGGTCTTCCTACTATACATAAACTAAATGGGTCGGCATTGTGGTCGTAGACCCATACAAACAGTGAGGAGCCTCACCTCGCACTGTTGAAGACTAGCTGAACACTTCTGGTTGCTAACCGGCAACTCCTAAACTGCTGATCCTTCGGCTCCCCGAACTATCAATACCCAAAATAACATTGAGACTACAATACCCTCAAAAGTCAAACTAGGTCAAACGTCAACTTTGGTCGAAGTCAACATCCAGATGACTTGACTCGCCGAGTTGGTCTACCAACTCGTCGAGTCCCTATTCTTTCAAAATGATACAACCCCCCCCCCCCCCGACTCTACTCGTCGAGTCTAGCAAGAACTCGACGAGTTCACCTTCAACCATAACATCGGGACCATCTTCAACCGACTCGCCGAGTTCATCCTTGAACTCGTCGGGTTCATCTTCATCATATGAATGCGTCCAGTCTATGACTCGCCGAGTTCTATGAACAACTCGTCGAGTCTGTATTCATGGGTTGGGAGATTGCATTGGACTCGCCGAGTTCATCCTTGAACTCGTCGAGTACGATGATCTTCAAGTCCATAATGAACCCAACTGGCTGAGTCCTCTACCAACTCAACACACACCCGCTATCAAAAGGGTTTTGGGTAAGAAAACAGCTTGACTCGCCGAGTCCTAATAGCAACTCGTCGAGTCCTCCTAAGTCGAAACCTATTCAAACGATTTCAGTCGGGCACAAAGCATCTAGAAACCAGATCTAACCTTCTAGGGTTGAAATAATACGTAAAGCCTCTTCCTTTACATCCATGCATGGCCCTTTTTGCTCAAAAGGCCATAACAACCTCTTAAACCTTGCATGGGGAGTTCTACTGGCATAAAGCTTGCACCTTTATACCTTAACCACTCTTAGGGACCCCAGATCTGAAAGTATCTTTGCTTGGGACATCCTTGTTCCATAGATCAAGCTCCATGGACCAAAACTCTCATAAAGTGGACATAAATAGATCTAAGAAGCTATAAGTCAAGATGAAGACTTGATTACCAGAAAATGATGGAAATGAGATGGTGTTGCTGGATCTACAAGTTCCTCCTTGAACCTTCAATCTCCTTCTTCTTCTTCTAGCCTCCAAGAACACCAAAATACTTAAGAATGGCTCACACACTCACCAAATGATCTAGGATTTCGTGGGTTAAGTTCTGGACAATGGGGGTTGGGAATGGAACCAAGAGGAGGAGAATAAGATCCTTAAATAGGGTGCCAAGTTCCGAATTTAGGGTTTCCCAAACCCTGACCAACTCGCCGAGTCAGTCCTCCGACTCGTCGAGTAGATCACTTAACCCGCGACCCGGAACGCGCTCCTACTCGTCGAGTCACCCCACCTACTCGACGAGTCGCCTTCTGATTTTTGAGGTTTTCCTTTCCTTTCTAGGTCTTCTGAATTCGGGGTGTTACAACTCTCCCCAACTTAAACTAGACTTCGTCCTCGAAGTCCGCTACGGCGCACTACTCTGCAACCTCTCACGACATTTCTATTCGCCGCATACCTTGCCTGCTCGGTCCAATCTTCGAAGGACCGCTTTTGTTGGCCTTCCGTCCAGTCCTCCTGAGCGAAATGCTATACCTCGAAGGTATATTTTTGAGAACCACCCAATCACTACAAACCTTGAGTACATCGCCCTT